AGCTGTTCCGTGTAATGGCCGTCCCGGGTATTATTTCTGTGTGGTGAGCATAAACGAGTAAACTAGGAAGTCCTCAGATGTTCCACTGGAAGGTTCAGGCTTGACTTATTAGTAAGTAGGTCGGGCCGCCAGTTATTTGTCGCGACTGGCGCACCTCAATCTACGCACAAAATGATAATTTGGAGCCGTATTTTCATAGTCGATTATAGCACCTTGTAGGCTAACCAAACCTTGATGCGTGTATTATTTAATACAATGCTATATATGGGTGTGTACTCTGATTAGGAGTGATATGCAGTACGTTTTAAGAAAGCGCTGCTCGTTTACGCTTAGCCTACACGCGACAACTAAAATCACTGTCAACAACCGTCCACCGTGTGGAGATGTCTGACTAACAGTAGAATTCGAGGAATGAAAATATAACTCTGTCAGCCTCAACATCCTAGCTTGATCGAGGGTAATGTCACCTTTTATACCTCATTGAGAGTATGCCATGTAATAAGCAGATAATAATATGAATCGTTCAGTTGTAACATCCTTCCGGTGCCTAGCTGCCATGCCACCCAGATGAAGCACGAGTGCTGGGATACTGCCAGGTCGTCCAGGCCTAGACAGGGGAAGTCGAGTGGCAGAGGTCGGGTTCGAACCACGAACCTCCCGGTCAGTAAATTCGCGCTCTAACCACTTGGGCCATCTTGCCTCTAACGAATGGGTTCTGTTTTCTATATAACTGCAGCATACTACTAATAGGGTTGCTGAAAACCCTTGGACTATTCCGCCTTTTCTAGTTGGACTCATCATGTAGGCACCGTCCCCGAATTTCCACCAACCTTGTTGTAAAAAATTCTATTCATACACTCATACTCCTGGAACCCACCTTAATTTCTCGTGTGTGAAGTTCTATTCACTTTCCTTTCATGGCGAATTCACCGTTTAACTAAAGTGAAATGGTGAGGGGGGGTGTCAGGCACCAGAGCCTGGTTTGCGGTTGACTGGTTGTCCGTTGACGGGGCGCACATTTATAAGCTGTAGGCGTTTGCAGAATTCATTAGTAACCCACTCAGTATGTGGTTTTCAACACCTGATTCTCTAACCAAAGTTGCCAGTTATCTTGTCCTCGCAAAGCTGATTTACTTCCGTCGGTAACTAACGAGCTTGCGCGAGCATTCGCGGTGATTTCGGATCGATTTGTTGCTTTGTCGATGGCCAGAATCAGCAGCACACTTTGGAACTACGTGTGTCGCCCTGTACCCGCTGCTCGTGGTCACGCTTGTTCACGCACCCTGTCCGTCACGATGCTGACCAGAACATCATCATATCCAGGGTGGCCAATGTTCAACAGATGTTGTCATTGTTTACCAGTAGGTGAGATGACGATCTGCGGTGGTTTTTCTACTTGCATCGATTGTGTTCCTGGATGGCTTGGAGGGCAAAGATGTGCAATTCAATCGTTGATAGATTCCACCGAACTTGACTCAGCTGTTACTCATAAAATCACATTGCAACAGAAAGCGATACCACGTCCTGTGTAAGCAGAGGATTACCGTTAGGTCCCCATTTTCTACAAGAATCTCTCCTCGGTTTTTATGGCTTTCTCCTCGTGGAATTTCTGTTGAACGATGGAAACCGTACTTGTACCCATCCATATCACAAATAATGGTTTATCTACGGCAAGTTTTTATACGTTTGTTTTAATAGTTCACGTTTTTCACGAGGCGCAGTTTCAACGCTACAGAGATTTGGCAAAGATTCATTTTAGCAGATATGGTTTCCCTTTGATAAAGCTGAAGAAAGGTTTGATAATCGTGGATCTTTCTTTTATGACAAGAACGTAAACAGCTCTTTTCAATAGCGTCAATTTGGTCAGCTTGGCCCAGTAACTCTGAGACGTCTCACATGCTCAAATGATGTTTTGCCACAACCCCATCAGTGCACGCCATTGCTCTCGGATAGCCACACCTAATCAGGCGAACGTACTCATGTATGAGCGGTAGGACTGTTTAACCAAATACCTCAAGTAAAAATCCCGCAACGGTCAATCTCTGAACGAAAAATAACTGCTCAAAATATGCCCGACGGTTCCCAACTCTGCGCGGTGTTACATGACTGGGAGGTCTTTACAGGGTGGTCAGTGGATCAACGTATGAGTCTTTGGACAAACCAGTAACATCGATAAAGTTGAAACAACATCGGTCCTGATGTGATAATTCGGACGATTCCAGGGTGTCCTGACAGAACAGTGTTAACATACTTGCTGGGTTCGGGACCCGGTTACGCGTACGCGACGCTGGCTAGGTCTATTCCTAGTGGAAAACGAGTTCAGTACTTCTGCTGCTTGATACGGACAGGCCGTAATAACTACGTGAGGACAAGAGGGTAGTTTGCAAACAAGATTACTGTGGGTAGGAGCCCCACAGGTTCCGGAAATCACTGACCACTCCTAGTGAAAGGAAGAAAGCCTTCGCTGCGGGGTTATTTATTAGGAAATGCCAACTGAACAGTTACGGACTATTGGACATGGGAACAAAACTCTCACATGCATCTTGTTTGCAAAAACTAAATATCCATCTTATTTTTGACGGTTACTCAAATCAAAGCAAGTGCTAAGGGGAACAAAACTCTCACATGCATCTTGTTTACAAAAACTAAATATCCATCTTCTTTTTGGCTGTTACTCAAATCCAAGCAAGCGCTACAAATTCCGTAATAGATCAAGAGGAGCAAATCGGGTTCAAGGGAAAATATACTACTAGCAATCCTTCCAACAGTAGTATCACCGTTACACTAGTAGACGTCGAGAACGATCAGCATTTTGGAAGATTGACGCAAAACATGGGGAACATCAAACTGGGCTGCCGTAGTTTAAGGGCGAGTCATTTCTAAGTCCGACAACTGACACTTTGAGAGTTCAACCCACGCGTTCTTGATGCTGTTTTGAACGACTTGGTGAAAATCGGGGACCTCTTATTTGATACTGCTCATCTTGGCGCTGGTTGTACGCACTTTAGCACCACCCAGCCAGAACTAGGTCCAGAGATATTTACGGAGAAAATCTGGATAGAGGGGATGGAGCAGCCTCTGACAGGCTAAATTGAAGATGGGGTTATACCACTTATGTCCGGACAGCTTTGATTCGAACCTGGTTCAGCAACTAACATCTGAGGCCCGGAAACTATGGTATATATGTTGAAGAGACTGTTGGTAGCTCAGGTAATCATAGCGTCTTGATCAGTAAGAGTTTGCAGCCTAATTCAGTGGTTAATCGAACGAACCAGCGACCATCTGTGACGTGCTCTTGTGCATCAGGCTCCACCAAATCGTCAGTTTTATATATGGAAAAGCTTTCTAACTCGAAGTAAGTAGCACACGGTTTTAGGCTAATTCATTCACTGCATACTAAGGACCATCTGTGTTGGGTGGCCGCGCACGATTTACGACAACAGGTGTCGTCGAGAAACCGACCCGAATGTTTGATTTGGTTTCTATCACCTGAGCAGGAANTTTATGAACCATGAGAGAACTCAAATTCCATGGCTACGGTCTTTGGTTAGTTTGATGAACTGGGTAGAGGGGTTAAGACTAGGTCCTTTACGTATACTGTGCTAACACTTGTGGAATATCCTTCATGGGAACCTAAGACGATGACGACTTCGAATGTTTTGGTTGAATGCAAGAGTGGAACCATTCTGGCCAATGTAAGCGCTGGACTATTGAGTCGGTTTCACTTGACTACCCGTTCCGCTCAATTGGGACAGAGATTATGCGTTCTCCTTATGATTTCTGTGAGCTCTGATTTTAATGGAGAGAAACAAATCGACTGTCAGTTAGTTGGCTCGTTACCTAATTCTGTCGGATTCAGGACGATCACGTTATAATTTGATTACTATACGTTATGTCGGTAATCGACCAGGTGGCTGTTGATCAGTTCGCTGAGCTTGGCAATTGATTTACAAAAGAAATCTTCAGTGAGCTGTTGTGTGGGTAGTGCCTTTCTTTGTGCTTTCGCTTATATAGTTCACAAAGAGCAGCTTTTGCGCTGTAACCTGATTGGACATGGATAATCGTCGTACCTGGATTCTGGTTGGTTCAACCATAATCTGCGTTGTGTTGTGGTCTGTATTTATTGCTTTCTACGCCCACGCTACTGTTGAACTTGCCCTGCATTATTGTCTCTTCCTGCCTCTTCTCTGTTATGTCTGTTGCTAGCGGGGCAGTCGACAGCGGCGACAACTGCGTTTGGACTCCCCTCCTCTTCCCCTCGTTCGTGCACGCTAGCGCAGCTGGTTACAACAGATGACGAAACATTAAGCGAAAATTTTTCAAGTAATCGATTAGCGATGCACAAACAACGGAGTGTGCGGTCAGCAGACATGTTACGATACGTGGTTAAACCTGTTTTCTAAGGCTGCACTGAAGGTAAAAAAGATGGGACCGGTGGAAATTGAACTGCAGATGGTGGGAACTGTGTTTGAAAGTGACCCGAATCAAAACATAATTATTAAATCGTGAGGAACAAAAAAGCAGGATATTATTTTGTCACTAGGGGCCACGAATGACGAGAAGCCCTGTGTGGTCGTGTTGTCCTTTTTTAAAGATTCATCAACTAACTCAAGACCTGGCTTAAAGTGTGAAAACTACTTTACGAAAAGTGTAGAATATAAACCAAATGTGAGACTTTTTCAAGCACTTGTCATAAAGGTGAATTTGAGTTCAGTTTTTTGTCACATGAAAAGTGAAAACCCTAGAAGTAACTGGAGAGAAGTGCGGTTAATCTCCTTTTACGACAAATTCTTTGAAAGACGGATCATGCAGCAGTCCCATCTGGTCGATGTGGGCACATTTCCTTTGTGATCATCGCCGGATGGGTTACAAAATCCTTGTTGTTGCCAGTAAACACTAGTTGATTTTAGCGAACTACACTCATTTGTAAACAAACTTGGTTTCCCGTGTGGCCCACCTAGAACATAGCTGAGTCTATCTTTTGTTACGTTTCTAAGCAGCTGAATGTGCTGCGCCAGGCCGCGTCTTGCTTCGATCTATCATCGCAAACGAGGGATTCACCTGAGCCCTGGGTGAGTCTCTCACGAAACCAAATTTGTTTGCGAATGAGTGTAGTTCGCCAAATTCGTGCAATTTGGGTTCAATTAGAACATAAAGTTGACGGAAACTCGGGGACTGCGCCTACCTGATGAGCTCCAAGAAGGGCGAAACTGGTCGTGGGCCGTCGAAGAATTTTCATCCAAATTATACCAGTTGACCACGAGATGAAAAACACCAATGCCCTGCAATTCCCATTTCAGTGAGTTCTTAGAAGACCACTAGTGAAGCTGTTGGAAAAACACAGTAGAACCGCGCCTTACGTGATATACCTAAGACTCCAGGCCACTTTCTCCAAACGTACAAAACCAAATTCCTTGATACAATCCTCAGTGAGGGAGTCACACAATCACAAACGCAAAATAACTGAACAGGTGCTGTCGTTATCCAGTCCAAGTTTGCGAACATGGTTTCGTTTTTTCGTCAACATCAATTTTCATTTATCTGGACCTACTGATTGGATGTGAAACTGAGATTTCAAATTTGACAACTTGATTGTTCCACCGGTTTGCCCAGCATGTTATATTCGGAACAGCTCAGTTCTAATTAACTTGTCATATTGTTTCGGATGGTTGGTAAAATCGATTCATCCAAGTGGTTCTGTGTGCCGAGTACTTGCCTTGCTTTTAACGGTCTATCGTGGGTGCTTCAGTTTTAGTCAATTTTGTCGTGATAACGGCGCGTAAGTTTCTCGCTATGCAGAAATATCCTGATAACGTTTGGATGCTTGTTGTAGTAGACTTTTCAGTCAACTGTTCCGAGAAAAAAAACAGACTTCTGTCGACCACAAACGTCAACTTTAGTACAATCAGTTCTAAGCTTTTGTTTTAATGAATGCACCTGGAGTATTCTGTTTACAACCAAGACAATGTATCGTTACAAATCGTGTCCTACAAAGGAGATTTCCCAAGCGACCGTCGGGACCGATGTTCGGGACCGCCCAGACAGTGAACGAACACTAAAGCTATTGTTTACAAGTACAAAGTTAACCGCATAAAACAGTGTACCTGTGCTTCCGGTTTGAATATCGACTAACTTGTCACTTTTGGTGGTAGACTACCTCGCACTTTTTGAAATCGAACAATTTTTCAATAGTGTTTTCAAAATTTGCCAAGGAATTCACCCTCTCCCCGAAAGGATTTGTCCTCAGGGGAGATAACTTTCTGCCTTCATACTGAAGTAGGCGTCAGTGGCCCATTCCTTCTAGCCTCTTGAGGTATCCTCCTGGTCGTTGATGTTAAAGTACGTATTTTCCGCTTAAGTTGAAATAGTGTCCTAGATTTTTGTGCTAACCTGTATCGTTAAGTGACATCACGAATACTGCCTCTCATTCACCAAGCGAAGATCACTTACGGAGAACAGTCCAGGTGATCTTAGTGGAGGTTTTTTCCCTAAGGTCAACCACACAAGTAGATTGTCACACGTTTGTGATTTTTTTGATAAAGGTTAAGAGAGGTTAGGAAAGGTGAACAACTTTATTATAATGCACGAAAATAACTGTCACGGCTCTTAGTATTTCCTAGCGAAGATATCATTCAACCGAGAAGCATTGTACATCTGTTTCATCCTCATTGGGAAACTATACTGCGATATCTTGAATATCGTGCCAACTGAAACATGAGGCGGCCTGTGTGCAGCACATTCAGTTGTAGAATATCGTAAACGAGAGATTCAGATGAGTCCAAAGTGAAAACCAAATTGATTCGCAATTGGGTGTATTTCTCGAAAACAGTCCAATTTTGGTTCAAGTAGATCACAAGGTTGATGGAAACTCGGAGACTGCGCCTACCTGATGAGCCCCAAGAAGGGCGAAACTGGTCGTGGACTGTCGAAGAGTTTTCAGCAGCCTTTTGAGTAGTTTCCTTTATGAAAAAGACCCACGACCTATTCTTCAGTAGTTTGAACATTCAACGTTCGCTGGATGAAATGGAGGTCGAAAATCCCCAAATTCCTCCGACAATCTATGTCTGCAAAATACGAGTTCAACACAGTGGGGGTGGTATCACTGCAGCGAATTTCCCACAGAATGGGACATAGCAGTTCACCCACCGTAACTTACGCGTGTATGTATCGATGCGTACATGGACCTGCGGTGCCATTCCGATCCAGCGGCGAACGTTTGAGACACGAAAACGTTTTTTCGAAGACGAGACGATGGCGCCTCCTGGTTTTGGAATATCGTGCCAAAGTATTGCATTTTGTTGGCTAGGCCCCTTCTGTTTGGGTGGCACCACACTTTTGTTGGCCCATTAAAGCCGTTGATAAATTGTTTTGTGCAAAGTTGGTTCTCCCGGGGACAACTTATTGGCTGAAAGGTGTTTTGATAGAACAACTAACAGGGCTTGCAGTGAGATGATTCCTGCTAGAAGTGGTTCTTCAAGAGCGGAACGGCCACTGCGAAAAGAAGCCAGTTCGTGACGGTACAAAATGTGGGCTGTGTCTGCAAACTGGCGCGCATCACCGTGTACTTTTGATGATATAAGGTCCCATTGCTTGTCCAGTTTACGTACAAAGTTGTCTCAGCCTCCGGCTGATCCAGGAAATTACTCAACGGTGCTCTGAATCTGACCAACGGCGATCAAATGCTACAGTCATGAGGAAAACTACTCTGTGTGCTACTAATCAACTGGAGCGCAAGCTGGGCTGTCATGCTTTTGGCAGCCGTTTTTAGTTCAGGCTTACCGAAACGATCCAAATTGACCTCAGTCTTAGGAGCAGGTGAACCATCCGAATATCACATACCGCTGTCCAGCAAGCCGACTGATTATTTCACCACGATAAGCGATGAAACGTCTACAATCCAACTGCCAAGCTCGGGGAATATGTGAACCACCGGCCACGCTACTCGCGCTACCAGTCTGCTGATTTAAATCTATTACATACAAACTAGGTACCATACTGGTCGTTGGCTTGTTCGCTGAGCTGGGCAATTTGGTTGCAAACGTTTCACCACCAATCGAGGTGACATCATCAGTGCGTAGTTGTGCGTAGCGGTGGGTTAGTGGTTGTGCGTTCAGTAGTGTTACGTGTGTGTTGATATACGTGCTGGTAGCCGGAGGTGACCTTTGACCGCGATTAGTTATTCTGTCGGGCGGTTCCATTGGTTGTTCTTTTTATCCCATGTCCTCATTCGCCAGTGCCCACGTAACCTTTGAACTTGGCTTCCCTCGCTGTCGTAGCCTGGTCGATGTTGGAGTGACCTTTGTCCTTCCGAGTTCCGGCTTGTGACCTTTATTGATTTGACTCCGAGGGGTCCCTTGTTTCTTCGTTTGTGGATCCATTATTCTGTCCTTCTTGAGTTTTCTGGTTGCGATGTTGGTCTTTTGCACGTAGAGGTGCGTAAATTGAATCCAGTTCGATGCACCGGTTGATTGAACCTGTCGTATTGTACCGTGCTTCCAGAAATTCTCTTCCGTGTCGCGTGTCTCCGT